AAATTTAATATGTGAGTTTGTAAGTGTATACGGTAAAAAATGGTAAAAAATAAGAACGAGAAAAAAAAACGATCAAATGAAATACAACAAAAACAAGAGAAAAACAAAAGAACAAATAAAGAAATTTTATTTAATAGGAAAACGTTATTGTAACAAAAGCACTGTCACATGCACTACAGTAGAATCCCTTCCAATACAACATGGGAGTTATTTAGTCATATTTAACCGATTATATCAAAAATTAGCCTAATCAAAAAGTTAAGGCTTGAGTTTATAAAATTATACGAAAATTTGTAGGCGTAATGCAAGTAATTAAATAAAAATTACTCATACACATAGAAATGGCATTGACCTTAGCAAATTCTGTTTTACGCGTAAAATATATTGAAATAGCGACATATTGTACTTCCTTTTTAGGGATATGTGTACAAAACTCCACGATTTGTTTGGTAAAAATCCTATATAGTTGAGAATAAATTCCACATACAGGGAATACGTTACTATACTAATAAATTGGTTTTTGCTCATATTACTCTCCACTAGAGGGTTTCATAGATTTTATTCTGACATAATTATAATAAAATAATAAATATTTCATTTCTTTAAACTGTTTGTAAATTTAATTAGTATTAGCATTACCGTTTGTAATAAACGTTAACACTATATTTGATAAATTACTGTTAACGAAGTATTCTCATGACATTCCTCGTGAAATAGTCTAAAATTAAATGACAACTCAAATAACATATTCTTAAAACTTTGTTGACCGGTCAAAAGTTAACTCATGTTCTTATGGCTGACCGGCTACGAGTAAACTCGTTGTGCGTTTTTTTTTTCACATCGCTGTTGTTTTCTCCGTTGGTAACCGATACAGTGCAATTGTTGATCAGTATAACACAAACTGTTTCTCTCACTTATAAGACCCGTCAAAAATTTTGTTGTAAAAAATATTAAATAATTTAAAAAAAAACGATGACGGAACGTAATGAAGAATCTTTCAATGAATTGCAATCAAAAGCGGATGCTTTGTCTGATTGTCCGAGTGATTATGAATCAAATTGTGGTAGCTGTGGAATTGAACGACTCTGATATTAGACCATCAAAATATTAAAAAATTGAATAATAAATAAAATTTATTAAAGTTTATTTTTATTGTTTCATTTCCACATCCAATTACGAAATAATAGCCGGTGACATGAGATCAGTAAAATTGCCAACAATGTGTTAAGTGACGACTGAAACAATATACCACATTCAGATTAAAATTGCATTATACTATATGTTTCTAAGCGCTTATCTCAATAACATATAGACGCACGATCATAAAACTGCTTAAAATTTTAAAGTTATTTCCAAATCTCAATTAATTTAATTTTACTGTAACTTTAACTAGTTGTATTCAAGGAAATATAGAGGAAGAACAATAATAATTAGTAAGTTTTTACATATATAGCATATAATTATGTATATATAGCTGATTTTTTCCAGTTAAATCTCATTTAAAGTATAATTTATTTGCGATAATTAAGTAGTCTTCAAGTTTATGAGAAAAATTAATAAGAAATTAAATTTGTGAAAAAAAAGAAGAGAAGGAAATCAAAACTATGAGATTGAATTATAATTGAATTGAGATTTTTTTACAGATCATTGTTTAGCTTTACACTTTGATTTTCACTTTATAAATATTCATTTATATTTTGATTGTGTAAGAATAAGAACTTATTCAGAGAGAGCATGTCAGTATTATAAATTAAAAATTTTATTTGTATATTCTAAAATTACTTCCTGAATAGTTGAATTTATGAATAAAGTAAATAAATTTTTTTTTTATATAGGCTTTAATTAAATAATTCACATAGAATAATAAAAGTTTCATGATGAAAGTTATAAATATTAAAGACTAGCTAATAATTTTAAAAGAATTTATTGAACCCTGTGTGACTTTAAGTAATTTTCAAAAAATTGAGAGAGTGTATAATACTTACGCCGCTATAAAACACAAAAAAGTATTTCTTTTGCAAGTTCTAGGTGGCAGGTTTTAATATCATATGGTTTTTTATTACTAATCGCAAAATATCAGCAAGTAAACCATAAACATAAGCAACAAAATTGATGCAAAAAACTTCAAATTTGACATTTATCTCTCATATTAATTGCATTCTTTACGGGTTCCTGCTTATTGCTTTATAATGGAGCAAATTCCCGTATTTGCACTGTAAATTGTATTAAATTGGAGGGATGGTATAATGGAACAAACGCACTTATTTTAACTATGGAAAATGTCAATGTATTTGAGCGATGTTATGCAATTATTCGCTCTTGTCAACTTTTGCTCAACATTATTGCTCATATCTGGAATTAAAACATTCTACTTCTCTCTGTATCTTTTTCTGTATTGCGTTCTTTTAACTTAAAACGTCTAATTATTGATTATGAAAATTGTGGTGAAGGCTCTTTTTGATAATTATTGCTAAACTGAACTAGAAAACATTTATTACATGCATAATGATTATTATGCACCACAATGATCCCTACAGGTAGTCTACATTTTTATGTCAACTTCACGTATTTTGATATTATGACAACACCATTACGTTTTAAATTAAAATTTTAAAAAATCATTTAAAACTACTCCATTTCTTCCAGTGTAGCTGGAAAACTATGCTAAAATATAAAGAAAACTCTCAATTGTATAAAGAAATATGAGTCTTGCCAATTGCTATTTAATTTTAGTTCATAATTTTATAAGAAAGGAGATTTATTTTTCCATTATTTTTTCTTTTTATATTTAAATGTGCAGTGAAAAATAAGTGCATTGTTAAGAATTTCCATTTAACAATTTGAAAATTTTCTTATATAATATGGTTATTTTAAAATTGCGAGTACATTTAATAGAATTTTCAAAAATATTCCGGAAAACTAATTTGCATAGAAACAATACGCAATTTTATTTTAAAATAAATTCTTTCAGTGAATGATCCTCTAGACGTCTTACAATATCAAAAGCAGACTTAAAATTTAATGCATAAATTAGTTATTATATAATAAATAAAGAAAACAAAAAATATTTTCAAGGATCTACTTTAAAAACAACTGTAAAAATCATTTCGTTTGTAAAATGCATTCGGTTTCTTGATAATTTCGTAATAATTTTCTTGCTCCCTGTTTATTTTGAAAATAAGTTCGCCTGAATAAAATTCCATTAGAATAAATTAGTATTTTTTTTTCTAAATTTTGCTTTTACTTTAATTTCAATTCTAATTTTAAAAATAATAGTTATACTACTATAACTGTAATATTGTACTTTACTATAATTCTTGACCTTAAAATGTCATTTGCATTTCTGAAATAAATCAACAATTTTTCTCTTTTACGATATTCATTTTGAGTTATGCTTTTTTAATTTGTGAAATCTAAAAACACAAACAAAAAAAAAGAGAAATTGCATGCAATTTTCATTTAAAAATAAAAAATAATGAATTAAGATTTTTCTTGATCCTTACATCTAGATCCTTTTTTATGATTTGCATACATTTTTTTTTTTAAAGTACTAGATTATTTTAAGAGAAATGTTGACTAAAATTTAAAATTTTTATATAAGCCAGTTGAATATTATGACGCCGAACTCCTTCCAAGTCAACAAAACTCCTTTCAAGTCAACTAAAAAATTGTTTTCACTAAAGTGAAAATTCTGTTGCAAATTTGGCGTAATATACTAGATTCGCCGTAGAAATTTTCAATTCCATTTTTACAGTATACTCACTTAATGAATGGACAAAGTAAAAAAAAAGGCATGTTTCGAACTAGGAAAAGCTAGTTTTGCACTTTATCCACAACGACTTAAGAGCAATAGGAATACCTTGAGAATAATACCGTAACATCGTAAAGTAGCTGAAAGCTCAAATTATTTCTCTATATATTTTACTCCAAATCACGTAACGACAAAAAATCACCGCTATTTTAATGACGATTAAAAATTATCGGAGTGTGTTTTCTATTAAATTCAATACTGCGATATTTTGTGATACGAGTAATCACCCAAATTCAAAAAATATTTTAATTTAACACTGTGACATATTGAAATAGTACACGGTTTTGTTAATTCAGTAGCAACATCATTTGGATTTACACCAATTTTATGAATTAATATTTAAACCCGTAATAATTTAAAAATATTGCAGTTTTAAATTTTATTAAAATAAAATACATTCTTTTTGTTTTATTGAATACAGCCCTGCAATATTCTGTTTTATTTGTAAAATGTTTCGGTCTTTAATTGTCCATATAAAAATATCGTAAATTTGAACTGAATTTATTCGAAAATACAAATTTGAGATGTTGCAGTTTTAATCTCAAGGTATGAAATATTTAGTTAAAATGTAAGCGATATAAAAAAATCAAAAAATTAAGTAATTTTGATGAGAAAAATTTATTATAAAATATAATTAACATTTGGCAAGCAAACATTTTTCGATTTCCTACTGTGATATTCTAAAAATTATAAATTATACACGGTGTGTGAATGCATATAATGCATTTTAAAGTAAAAATATAGTGAGGAATTTATAAATTTTCTCAAGAGAGTAAAATAGAAAACTATAATTCTATTAGTTTTTATTTTTTTTGAATTGTTTTAAAACTACGGGGTATTGACATATATTTTTTAAGAGGAATTAAGATTTAGTGTACTTACTTACTTTCTTTCTCCCTTTTTCTGCGGGACTATAAAAAGAGTATTGTTGCATGAGTATAATAGTTCTCACTAAAAATCATTTGTCTATTTCACGTACTCTTATAAATACTCACCACAATTTTGAGATGATGATCTTTTCGAACAATTGCGGAGTATTTCCGATAAAGAGAATGTTGAGTTTTAATCCAAAATCTTCATGTTCCTGTTTTGTACATTCGATCACTTTAATTTTAAAAACTATCTTTAGTTTTACGAAAATTTTTCTTTTTAAAATCTTTCTCAAATCAAAATTTTTCTTTAATTTCAGCTTTTATTACGACAGCAACTGCAAGAATCTGCGATACAAAAACAAAAAAAAAATTAAATAATCACAAGGAAGAAAAATAAAAGTGAGTGTTTTTGTTTATTTGTTTTTTGTGTTTTTTTTTATTTTCCATCAAAAAAAAATCTAATAGAAAAGTAATTAAAAAAAAAAATTAAAATTTAAAGTAAAAATAAAATTTTAATTTAAAATTTTTTAATTCTAAAATGAAAATTAAAAAAGTTATATAAAATTTGAAAATAAAAAAAAAGTTCCACCACTAAAAAAAAAAAAGTAGAAAAAATCAAATTTGTTTGTATGTAGTGTGCAAAAAAAAAAAAAATAAAAAAAAATTAAGAGTAAATTTTGCAAAAATTAAATTTTTAAATAAATGAAAATTTATAAAAATTTCCTTATAATATGGTATTAAAATTTTCTAAAATAAAACCAATAAAAGTGCATGAAAAGTGAATAAAAAAAAAATTTTAAGAAAATTATACACAAACCACATCAAGGATTACAAAAGGATATTTGGTACAATTTTAATTTTTAAATATAAATGCAATACGAGGTAAGTGCTTATTTTTGCTTATTTTTAAATTTTGTTTAAAATAAATAAATTTGCTTCATAATTTAAATATTTTGGAATAATTTTTGACTTGAAATGTTGAATTTGCTTAATATTTACTGTTGAGTTGAAAAATTCCAAATTATGGGCATCCCTTCTTTACACAAATCATCTTAAATTAGAATATTATTAGAATTACTTGTAAAAACAATTTAAAATTTTGATTCCAAAATTTAAAGTGGAGTCTGTATAATGTTATTGAGTGTATATTTTTTACCATAAGGTAGTGCTACTGTTATGGTGCAAATTAAAGTTGATATAACGGTAAAATTATTATTACACTGAAGGTTATTTTAAGGACGAAAATTTGACTCTAGCTTTAATTATTGACATTGAAAGCTTTAATAACATAACTGTAGCTATTAAAATTAAAAATTATATAAAAAATTCCAAAGTCAATTTTGTGGACACCATTTGCTCATTGCCAAAAACCGCTGGAACTACAGTTTCTTGTAATCGATTCTTGAAGCCTTCTATGTACCCAATCATATCGAACAATTTATATATTTTTCATTTCTGATAATTAGTGCCATTTTATAGAATAATAATTTTATATTAAGATCGAAATCTAGCCGAATATGAATTTTTGGAACATGAGTTTTTATGGTTAGAATATTTACAAATTATTGATTCAAGGAACTGCAAGGTATATTTTTGCAAAATATTAAATTTGAACTTCCGAAAATACCGAAATTCTTAAATTTTTTCAAAACGAATTAAGTAAATATTTTTGCAGTTGGCAGAGAACTTGCTAATTTTTTAAATAAAACCTTAAAAAATTTTTTGAATTCTGATGACGTCATCTTATAATGTAGCTAATTGTCAATTTAAAATAAATACTTATAACTTAAATTTATCATCATGAGTAGACGGCGTGTAATTTCAATACGGCTAATTGTCACATCTTATAATATGTGAATAATAATTAGGCATATTTCACGCGTTAGTGAAATATTTTCATAATGTACATATCCTTCATTAAAAATATTAAAAAAAAACCTGTTTAACAACTTTTTTCTTGTACTTATCTCAAATTGATAGAGGGTTTTTCCTGAATATTCACTACATGTGTGTTTACACTATATAAAAACGGAGAAATATGAAATGCAGGTCATTAAAATAAAATATGTAGAAATGTGTCTTCATTTTAAGTGTCCTAAGATTTCAAGTTATAAACAAAAAAATAAAAGGATAGTTCTAAACATTTTCATTTGTTCATCAAGTGTCCTTTTTGCTTTAAGAACCAAACAACTTAAGATAATTTTTATTTTTTTTTTTCTTTCCTTTTCTAGAAGAGCAAACACGTATATAAATATAAAAATTTTTAATAAGTAAAAGACAAGATGTAACTTAAACTGAAAGATAGATCATCTGGCGTAATAAACTCTTGAATTGTTTGAAATATTCACAGTGTAAAAGTATACGTGTACCTATACTTATAACTCACTTAAATACTGACATAGGTTCACACATACTTTGTTCTATATACAGTATATTTATTGAAAATTGTATACAGGACTACAAACATATGCGTATACACTTATATTATAAATAGAATAATAAAATTCTTATTCTTTTTAAAAAAATTTAAATTTAGACTGAAAAAAGGTTACCAGATTCACGTTTTAGTTGTATAATATTTTTTATCATACGTGTTATACTTATACTACTTATACTACTTATATTTAAGTTGATACTTTAAAATTTATGAATTTTGTTGTAACAATAAAAAACTTGTTTGAATTTTCGAAACTTGAAATAATTTCGAACATTGTCGGTATTGTCATTATCATTAATTTGGCATGCAACTATCTTCTTTACTGTTTCAAAGTTTAAGTGTTATCAGTGAATTAATTTGTCAACAATATTATATTAATGTCCGGAATACCGTGTTGCTAGCTAGTTTTCTAGTCATATTTGAAGGTGGCCGAATATATACCCATAATATAAGGGAGAACGAAATATGGTCTGTGAATGTCGTATGAAAACTTTTTTGAAAATCGTCTCTGTGAGGTCTCGCTTCCAACAAGATTTATAATATCTCGGTTCTAAAAACATAAAAAATTTGTTTTTTAAGTTTTATTTCTGTTGGGTTCTGTTGAGTAAGTTCAAATTTTTGTTTAGGAAGGATCCATATTTTACCATCTTTCTAATAAATTGTCTACTAAAATTTCAATGTTAAATTTCATTCAGTTTTCAACTACATGCTTCAATCAATTTTTTTATGCGAAAATTGTTGTGTTATGCCGTGTTTTTTTTCCTATCATCCAATTTTCTCTTTACATATAGATGTAGTTAAGTACATTGCGTTACATCCGTCTATTGAACAAACTTGTGATGGTAACTCTAATAAATATTAAAAGTTAGGAAAAGGAACTAAAATTAAAAATTTTTTGTGTTGTTTTTACTCTTTTCTTCATTTTTCTTTTTCTATAAACAATTCTACAATTCAAGATGTTACCTACCTGTTAATAAGGTTCAAAGTAAAAAAAAAAAAACAAGGGAAGAATAATATGCTAAGGTGCTACGTAAAGGGACTATACGCCTCTACCTGTTAAAATAATGAGTACAACAAGTAAATAACAAAACAAAAAGATAACAAAAAATTACCAGGAATTATAAAACATTTTGTTATGATTCACTCTTCTGTATAACAACTAACACCTATACGTACATACATGCATATTTATACATAGATATCTGTGTAGGTATTTTTATTTTAACAAAATCATTTGTGTATACGCGTATGTGTTATTCTCTCAGCTATTTTTTTAATAAAATTCCTTCTCTTCTCCTCACCTCTTACATGCAATTCTCTTAAATAGAATTTTAACAACGAAGGGCAAAGAAAAATTTCTCCTATTTTTAGATTATATAAAAAGTATTTTCGATATTTTTCGGTATTTTTTTGGTATTATTGTTAAAAATGTTGCCATTGTTTGTAATGTTGTTGTTTATTGTTCTAACCTATATTTATCGTAATGTATTGTAGCTATTTTTAATATTATCTAAGTAATAATTTTGTTGTTGTCATAATTATTATGAAATACTTATATAAATTTTTTCTTTATGATTTCATTATTAACATTTGTAGCACAGGTAATTCCCAGGAATCTTTGAGGAATTTTAATATTCTCGATATTCAAAGGCAAGGTAGTTAAACTTGGAATCGAAGTAAAACTAATGAATATAAGTGATAAGGAAATATTGAAAATGAGTACCTACATACTTATATATGCAATTACAGCTACAAAAATTTAGCTTTTATGTGTTATAACTTAGGCTGTTATAACATATAAAATTCTTAATTCTATTCTAATGTCGACTTGTCGAAAATTAAAAGAAAGCGGCAATGAACAGACGTTGTAGATTTTTTCAAATTTTTTTGAACGATATTTTGTATTTCAGTTTTAGCTTTTCTCGGGACATTTTTCCAAACACTGCGTAATCTGTTCTCTACGTTATCTTTTCCAAATGATGTGTAATTTATTGATTTTTTTCAATGTCGTTTTCGAAACTTAGGGTTAAGGAGGATAGATTTGTTAAATAGTCGCTAAATAAAAATTACTGTACTTTTCAAAAAATTCGCAAGGGTTCTTACCCATAATGGAAAACTTATACTCCTCAAATAGATATTCGTACAAAAACATGTTTTAGTCCGAATCAAAACACTTTTTTTTGACATTGCCTTGCGATTAAGATATTGAAGATTTTTAAGGATTTTATATTTGATAGAAATTTAGTTGTGCAATGGCTTTCGCATTTTTCCTTATATATGCCGAGCTTCTCCCATCTATCCCATATTTTTAGTAAAAAAAAAAAAGGATGACTTCCTGCCTCACTCGAGAAATTTTACGTAATTTGGTTGTTTATTTTTTCAAGAATTTTTACAAAAAAAACAGAAGAATATAAGAAAAATCCAGGTGAATAATAAAAGCGATAAAAATTAAAAAATTCCATTCTACATAATGTTAAGGTGGGTCATGTCAGGTTAAATTTTTTTTTTTTTTATATCAAATTTTTAAGTCAAAAAGAAGAATTCTAAGATAAAATTTAAGATTCTTGTCTTCTTTTTTATTTTAGATTCCAAAATTTTTTTTTTAATTTTTTATTAGTCTGAGTTATGGAATAGAAGAACCTTTTTTATTAACTTAGTATATAATTTTAAAAATAATCAAAAGAAATACTGGAAAACACTAAAAAAACTAGTGTAAAAAGAGAATGAAGAAGAAAAATACACAAAAATTTAATGGGGTTACGGTTTGAAATATTAGGTTTGAGAAATAGAAAAAAGGAAAGGATCATAGGTAACTCTTAATAATTTTATAACTTCTTATTTACCTTCCTTTGGGAAAAAATTACAAAAATTAATGTTTTGTTATGGGATTTTAGTTAATTATTATGAAGAGAGAAGTTTTACAATTCTCGATAATTATTTAATCCTACCTATCTAATGTAATCATTCAAATGGCGTTAAAATATAATTTTTCGGTAAAGATGAAATAAAATAAGAAATTCCTTTTTTTTTTATTTTATTTTTAAAATTTCTTTGAGAATTTTAGTTAAAAACTTCTTGGGTATTTCCAAAATTTTTTAAAAATTTCCTGAATTTTAGGTTTCCAATGATTATTATTTTAATAGAATTAGGAATTTTAATAACTGTGAGAAGATAAAGTAAAAATTTTAAAGTATAAACTATTTCAAAAGAAGAACCGAAAAATTAACTGACTGTATGCTTACCAGTTAATTGTAAATTTTAAACGGAAAGGATTAATAACTTATGCCGAATTTTTATAGAAATCTAAAATTTTTTTGAAATAGGTTTACATTAAAAATTGCTTTGATTATTATTTCCTAAATAAGCATAAGAAATGCTTAATATTTTTATGATCTGTAAAATTTTTACTCTTAAATTTAATTGAAATGAATGAACAATTTTCCGG